GAAAGACTTGTTTAAAGGGCATCCTAGATTGATCCTTGGGTTCAACACTTTCTTGCCCAAGGGTTATGAAATAACCCTTAATGAAGAAGATGAGGCTCCTCCAAAGAGAACGGTTGAGTTTGAAGAAGCTATCAGCTTTGTGAACAAAATAAAGGTTACATTCAGTTACCTTCTGATTTTAACGATAAAGGTCTGCCCTTTTTCTTCTTTAACAAACTTTAGTCCTAACTTACTGGATTATCATTTTCCGCAGAAACGTTTCCAAAATGATGATCATGTGTACAAGTCCTTCTTAGACATTTTGAACATGTACAGGAAGGAGCACAAGGGCATCAGCGAGGTGTACCATGAGGTGATAAAGCATTTTTTAATTGTCTACATGGATATTATAGACGAACTTCATGTTTTAGTTTGTTATATTCTTCATATACGTGTAGGTTGCCATACTTTTCGTGGACCATCCAGATTTGCTAGATGAATTCACTAGATTCTTGCCAGATACTTCAGCTACTGCATCAGCAGCACAAACTTCATTTGACAGGTCTCCTTTCCATCATTATGATGAGAGGAGCTCAGCTATTCCCATGCTTAGGCAACCGCACATGGACAAGGTTTTTTGGTTCTTTCTTTATTACTTATTTTGCCTTTTCTTTTCTGGGTGCTTTATTCTTGTCTATTATTGATCGTTGTCCCGCAGCTATACTCACCTCCTTCACTCTGTTGTCTCTGCAGCGTTTCCGGCGGGATAGGATTATTGGTCCTCATGCAGAAAGAGACCTAAGCATTGAGCGGCCTGATATGGACGATGATAAAACAATGGTGAAGTTGCATAAAGAACATAAGAGACGTGCTGAAAAAGAGAACAGGGACAGAAGAACTCATGATCTGGATTATAAAGAACCTGATAATGAGAACAATAGAGATCTAAACATGCAGCGTCATACTGATAAAAAGAAATCTGCTCGGAAGGTTGAAGAATTTGGAGGATCTCATGAAGATAAAGATGCCCTGAAAAGTGAGTGCATGATTAGCGTTGTCTGAATATTTATATTTTGATGTGCTGCATTCGAATCTTCCTCCATTAGCTATGTCAAAGTTATGTGTTAATTCATGGTGAATTACAAGCACTTGTTTAACTTCCAGTCATATGCTGAAACCTAAAGGATGAGTATCAGTACCGTTCTTCTGTAATATTTGCTATTATGTCATGGTTGCTTTTCAGGCAGTTTCACTTTGTTGTGTTTCGTTTTTGGTGTTCTTGATGCATGCATTTGTTACTAGCATAAGATTTCTGAGTTTGATTATAACCTTTTAATATGATTTGCTTGATCTTGCCAGATATGTATAGCCAAGAGTTCACTTTCTGTGAAAAGGTAAAGGAAAGACTGCGAAGTCCAGCTGATTATCAGGCATTCTTACACTGCCTCTCCATTTATAGCACAGAAATAATTAACAGGAAGGAGTTACTACGTTTGGTACGTGTATCTTGCATTTAATCTATCCTTTTTGCTCCTATGTGCCAGTAACTTTTGTTTATAATTTCTGCTATCTATAGTTTGCTTGGGTTCCATTGGGTCTGTCTGTAGGCAGTATTGTTTGCTCTGCTGATGCGGCAAAATATATGGTTCTGATGGTATCCCGCCTGGGATAGAGCCATTTTATGCTAATCTCTCTTTTTGGATCAACAGAAGGGAGGAAAAGGGGTCCCCTCTTCTTTGAGGTGGAAAATTAACTGAATCCTGGTCTTACAGGATTTTGTGGTGCTACAGTCTATGAAATAATGTACAAGTTGGTGTGGTTGTTGTTTAAGCATCATAGATTTGAAGGCATGATCATTGCAGGTTGCTGATCTACTTGGAAAATATCCTGATCTTATGGAGGGTTTCAATGAATTTCTAGAGCGTTGTGAACGAGTTGGTAAGTCTTGATATTTCATGTTGGTAAAATTTTGTGTCACATATATGTGATTCCATTCTGACTGGTTCCTGCTTTTCAGATGGATTTCTTGCTGGTGTTGTGAGCAAGGGTAAGTGGGCTGAAGGGCATACTTCCAGGTCAGTAAAGGAAGATGAGAAAGACAAAGAGCAGAAGCGTGAAACTGATGGAGCAAAAGAAAAGGACCGATATAAGGAGAAATACTGGGGAAAATCCATCCAAGAACTTGACCTGTCAAACTGCGAACGATGCACACCCAGTTATCGGCTTCTTCCTGACGATGTAGGAAATGTGTCGATTGGTTTTCCTCACGAGATCCTACATTGAAGAATCTCAATCTTTAGTGAATTATTTCTTGACATAGATCTGCTTATATCTTTATTGTGCAGTATCCGATACCTACCGCAAGTCAAAGATCAGAGCTTGGAGCTCAGGTTTTAAATGATCATTGGGTATCTGTGACTTCTGGGAGTGAGGACTACTCTTTCAAGCACATGCGCAGAAATCAGTATGAAGAAAGCCTGTTTCGTTGTGAAGATGATAGGTAAGTCCATTCATACGTTAAGTTGTTTNTGTTAAGTTGTTTCTCGCTCCCCCTAAAAAGGTTAAAAGAAAATTATCAGAAATAGAAGAGATTCTGATTAATCTCTGAGAAAGAGTTCAGACAAGCTGCTTTTCTGGATGTATCTTAACGTCTATGAGCTCACAGCTCCTTTTTAAGCTACTGTTTTCTTGTCATATAAGAATCAGCGAGCACAAATCATCTGTGATAATTCTCTTGAAATATTGTCTTTTGTGATTTTGCTCTTGCTTTTCGTCAATGATGATCGTAATCTTGCAATATGTCAGGTTTGAGCTAGACATGTTACTGGAGTCGGTAAGTTCAACTGCTAAGCGTGCAGAAGAGTTGTTGAATGCCATTAATGATAATTCAGTTGGCGGGGATGGTCCAATTCATATTGAGGACCACTTTACAGGTTTGTCAATGTTGACTTAGACATTAGCGGGCTGCTTTCACAATTTGGTTTCAGTTTTTTGCACAAAGGTACACAACTATATAGCTTGCTGATTAATGAAGTTCTACATTTTGTAGTCTTAAACTTAAGATGCATTGAAAGACTCTATGGTGATCATGGTCTGGATGTTATGGATATTCTGCGTAAAAGCCCATCTCTTGCGCTGCCTGTTATACTGACCCGCTTGAAGCAGAAACAGGAGGAGTGGACCAAGTGTCGCACAGATTTTAACAAAGTTTGGGCTGAAATCTATGCTAAGAACCATTATAAGTCACTTGACCATCGAAGCTTCTATTTCAAGCAACAAGATTCAAAGAATCTTAGCTCAAAATGTAAGTCTAGCATTTATTTTGTATGTGATCTCGCTTTTGACTGTGGCTTTTATTCTCTCTGTTTCTATTCTCTGTTACTGTGTGTAAGTCAGTCTTATGGAGCTGAAAGATGGTATTTCAGTCGATTATTACATAGCTTGATATGTGCTCTTATGACGTTGCAAATCTTCCTCTTCTTGACATTACTTTAGTTTTCATCGCTACCAACATCGATTTGATAAAATTGATACCTTTCCCTGTAATCTTGTCATTGTAGTTAATGAAATGTAGGGTGATTTTTCTCTCCTTTTCAAATTATGTTTCATGCTTTGGTCATCTTATTTTTACTCACTTCATACATGCTAGCCTTTCTATTTGCAGTTTTTTCATGTATATAACTTTCTGCCTTTCTTCCACTGGAGCTCGGGGATTTCTCAGTTATAAAAAAAATTACTGCTTTTGTTTTCCAAGATAGCTACTTCTAGGCTCATGCTTAATACATAGTTCTTTGGATTTTTGGTTCCATTTCTGCATACATGTCTTAGGATTTCACTAAGGGATTAGCAGAGGGAAATTACATTATACATATTTCATGGATAGCTGGTGAATCTATCTTCCATTGAGCAGTTCCTGTGGTTCTTGTTTTTAACTTTCATGGTTCTGATGTGATGCGGTATCTTTCATGATTCTGATGAACAGCCTTAGTGGCGGAGATCAAAGAAATTAAGGAGAAAAAGCAGAAAGAAGACGACATGATTGTTTCTATTTCTGCTGGAAGTAGACATCCTTTAACCCCGAATCTTGAATTTGATTATGCTGACTCTGAGCTTCATGACGACTTGTACAAACTTATCAAGTATTCATGTGAAGAGATTTGCTCCTCCGAAGAGCAATTAAATAAAGTACTGAGGTTATGGACCAACTTTCTTGAGCCAATTTTGGGCGTACCTTGTCGCCCTTATGACTCAGAGGCCACTGAGAACAATGATGTCTTATCAAAGCAGCATGGTCCAAAAAGCAATGGAACTAGCGTTGGTGAAGGTGATAGAAGTCCTAGTTCAGATGCTAAGCAATCAAAACTTATCAGCAACAGAGATGCCAATGCTTCCCCCCTACGAGTAAACTCTTCTAGGACGAGCTTTGCAAATGCAGATGCTCTTCTCAAAGAAGATGGTTTGGCAGTGATTGGTGAAGACCTAACTAATTCTGATGCAGCTGCTGCTATGGGAGCAGATGGTGTTCATGACAAAGTGGAATTAACTTCAGGTATATGTACTTAAAGAATTCTAAACCTATTCCATTCGATTGAATTGTTTCGTTTTTGGCCAAAACTTAGAATAGCTGATGTTCTTTTTATCCAGGGCGTGGTGCAAGACGGGGTACTGGTGCTTCAGAGCATGGTCAAGTATCCAAGTCTAACATTGATAGTGTGCCAGCATCAGAGGTATGGGACTCTGAACTTATGTCAATTTTGGTTGGTGCTAATGATCTTGACTACTCATTATTAAGGCATGATTTCTCTTTGTGTGATAGACTGATACTTCAAGATCGACTCCACTGGGCAATGGAGGGTTTGCAGAAGGCTCTAGAAGTAATGGGTACAATGACGATTCAGTTGATCCCTGCAAAAATGAGAAAGAAGAGGGTGAGTTATCACCGAATGGTGAATTTGAGGATAACTTTGTTGGGTCTCAAGATGGTGCCTCACGTGATGGAAGTGTGCAATATCAATCCAGAGCTGCTGAAGAGATGGATTGTCGGGATGCTGCTGGTCAAAACGATGCAGATGCTGATGATGAAGATAGTGAAAATGTTTCTGAGGCCAGAGAAGATGTTTCTTGCAGTGAGTCTGCTGCTGATGACTGCTCTCGAGAAGAGCATGATGAAGAAGATGACAGGGAACATGATGAACTTGATGGCAAAGCTGAGAGTGAAGGTGAGGCTGAGGAGACGAGCGAAGCACACTATGTTACAGGTGATGGCAATGTGTTGCAAATGTCTGATCGGCTTTTGCTTACTTCGAAGCCACTTACAAAATATGTGGCGTCACCTGTATATGGGGGAGCGATGAAGTACTCGCGGGTGTTTTATGGAAATGAGGCATTCTATGTGCTTTTTAGGCTTCACCAGGTAAGGAGATTCACTTTT